TAGTATATATTTAGAAGTTCAGGTTCACTTTTAATTCCAATATAGCTATAAGAATAGCTATAGCTACAGACAAAAAAAAGGTAATGGAAGCATCACTAATAATTAATCCAACAGATGGAACAAGTCCTCATTTGGACCTTTATTATTTTGTATCAGTCTTTACTGGAAAGTGATATAGTCAGTAAAGATTTAAATAGCATATGACACTCTACTGATATGTGCTAGCAACACTTTTTTTTTAATGTAAGTATATATAGTTATCCAGAATTTGTTTCTAAAGAAAAATTTAAGTTAATGCTTCTTGAGTTTCTTCCTCTAAAGAAGGCAAGTCTGAATAATTTACTTCCCTTCCCCAGGTGAGCACTTGTGGGGTTTGGGATAAGGTGAATCTGGGAGAATAATACATCATAAGAAGAAAGTGGACTGAAGTACGCACTAGCCATTTCAACTGTCACCCTCTCTGTAATAATACCACAGCCACCTAGAGGAGCTCTGCCAAAACTAAGCTGCCAAATTCTTCATAAGGTTGACAACTGTTTTTATTATTAGCTGAAACCAACTAATTTTATATCTTGCAAGTTAAAATAATTGTGCTAAGGCTTTTCAGTGTCCCATCGTTTTGAAAATGGTCAGGTAGACCATCACCTAGAGCCACCTCAAATTGATGAGTAGTAGCACACTTGAAAGAAGCCTATTGAGAAATAACAGTTAATGTCTTCGAGTTAGCATGAAGACTGACCCTTTAACAGGCTTGTGCATTTTGACTACTTTCTTTAATGAGGATGGCCTGTAGGTTGATTTGTTTAACTGCCTTATCCCAAAAATGTGGGTTTTGTCTGTAATTAAATAGCCACATCATCAAACTTGGTACATGATTTGAAAAAGAATAAATAAGGCTGAATGTGGTAGCACATGCTTTTTATCCCAACATTCTCAGGAGGCCAAGGCAGATGGATCTCTGTGAGATCGAGGCCATCCTGGTCTACGTAGTAGTTCCAGACCAGCTAGGGATACAGGGAGACTCTGTCTCAAAACAAATAAACAAATGGGGCTGGAGAGATGGCTCAGTGGTTTAAGAGTACCAGCTGCTTTTGCAGAGGACCCAGGTTCAAGTCCCAGAACCTACATGGCTCCTAACAACCATCTGTAACTCCAGTATCAGGGGATCCGACATCCCTTCTGACCTCAACACACATTGTACAACATAGGTGCACTTACATACATGCAGGAAATACACAAAAAATAAAACTAATAAAATATTTGAAACAAACAAGAATGAATAGGTTCCTGTATATGGTTTGGTGGCATATGTCTTCAATCCTAACACTTGAGAAGTTGGGCAGCCTGAGCTATATAGCAAAGCCCTGTCTCTAAAAACAGCTAGGGAAAGGGGACAGGGAGAAGAGAGAGTGCAGAAATGCACAAAAGATGGGAGATGTTCTGTGGCACACAGTTAAATTGTAGTTTACTGTCAACAAATGGGTTGGCATCTATACATGGAACATTTGTGATATTAAAGAGCTATTAACAGTAATGTAAGTCCCTGTGAGATGTTAACTTGGAAGTGGAAGCTGAGGTGCATGAGAAGGAACAGAGTGAGAACATAGAGGGAAATCTTAGTCCTTAACTCTGCAGAGGTGGGAGCCAAATGGCTTTTACTAATATAGCCACTTGTGTTTCAACTCCAGTGGATCATAGCTAAGGCTGCCCCTACCTCCCATGTAAAGATATTCCATGGGGTTTTAACGGACTCTTCTACCATCAGTCATCTTTTCCCTCTAAACGTCACACATCTGAGGTGTCAGTTGTCCAGTTTAACACATGGTAAATGACTAGAGATTTCTGCCTGCATTTCACTTGGCCTAACCTAGAGATTTAGAATTATAGAACGTTGATCTAGGAAGAATCTTGAGTAAGGAAATGTGAAGCCTAGAAAGACTGGCTTTTCTAAAGTCATACAGCTTACATGCCCATGTCTGCTGACTTCTAGCTCAGTACCTTTCCACAGCAAAAAAAATAAATAAATAAATAAACTGCATTTTGTGTACTTCAAATGACGTGCAGAAGGCATACATTTAGTAGGTTAGTTCAAAGGAATGGTGATTTTGATAGCTGAAAAAAACACTGGTAATGGTAGGAGAGTGTGGCCAATTTCAAAGACCTCAGATTCTTAGACATGGATACTTTAAATAGCAATGAGCCAATTCCACAGCAAAGAAACTGAAAAGGTGTATCCATCCTAAGGAATGAGAAACCAACATCTTAAAGAGAGATCTTTCTAGAGCTGCCTGTAAGCATTTATATTTTTTCTAACATTTTATACCTTTTCAGAATTGATCTCACATACAGTGCCATGAATGGTATTCACTGTCTGCCTGATTTATAAGTGGGAGTCATCCCTAAAACATTGGAAGTAATTCACTTCCTGCGTCTCACTCAGATCTTGATATTTCCCAAATGTCAACCAAAATGCATAGCTGTGTCAGCTAAACCTGTCGTTGTACATGAGTGAACACCATTCCTAGCAGCCATTTGTCTCATTTAGTCACCACTCAGCCTAGCAAGTTTTTGGTATCACTGGCTTACTAGAACCATAGTCATTTAAACATGATTTTAACCATGTACACAGAAAACATTAACTTTTCAGGCAAGGACTTCTGTAATATTTACTAACATGATGTGGATGGTGCTTTCCAGATGAAACTGAATGCTTGGTCATCAGATTATTTTATAAAGCTTTCTAAGCCTTGTGTGGTGGTGCACACCTATAATTGCAGCACTTGGAAGGCTGAAGCAGGAAGGTCACAGAATTTAAGACCAGCCTGGACTGCATAGCAAATTCAAGGCAAGACACTGTCTCAACAACAACAACATTCAACAAATCTTTTTGTTGAATATAAATTTTATTTTTTGGTTTCTGTTAAAAGATTTTTTTATTCATTAATGGAAATGGGGAAGAAAGTGTTTACTTGATTATTTTTAAATACAGTTTACAGAAATGGTCTGATGAGGAAAACAAATTTATAACCGTCTCTGCTTTCAACTTTTGTTACAAAAGTAATGGGAAGTTGGTGAAATCAAAGAAAAACGATTAGCTTAATCTTTGAAACATGTAACAGCATTTCATTTAAATATTTCTGGAGGGGCTGGAGAGATGGCTCAGC